GATCCCTCATCCCTCATCCTACAGCACAGACGATCCCTCATCCCTCATTCTACAGCACAGACGATCCCTCATCCCATCCCCAGAAAAATCACTCATTTCATGCTCCAATTAGCAAAAACAATGGAACCAATGACCAGAAATCCCACATCCCACATCCCACCCCCAAAAATCCCACATTTCATGCTCCAATTAGCAAAAACAAAGGAACCAATGACCAGAAATCCCACATCCCACATCCCACATCCATCCTAAAATAGTCTTACAATACAGCAATTAGCTAGTAATCCCACATCCCACATTTTATCCCACATCCCACATTTCATCCTAAAATAGTCTCACAATACAGTAATGAGCTAGTAATCCCACATCCCACATTTTATCCCACATCCCACATTTCTTCCTAAAATAGTCTCACAATACAGTAATTAGCTAGTAATCCCACACCAGCTTCATATAGAACAGTTAAGAAAGGGTGACATCCCACATCCCACATTTCATCCTAAAATAGTCTTACAATACAGTAATTAGCTAGTAATCCCACACCAGCTTCATATAGAACAGTTAAGAAAGGGGTGACATTCCCTCATCCAGAACAGTTAAGAAAGGGTGACATCCCACATCCCACATTTCTTCCTAAAATAGTCTCACAATACAGTAATTAGCTAGTAATCCCACACCAGCTTCATATAGAACAGTTAAGAAAGGGTGACATCCCACATCCCACATTTCATCCTAAAATAGTCTCACAATACAGTAATTAGCTAGTAATCCCACACCCAGCTTCATTAAGCGTAGTGATACACAATGTCTTCTTCATTAAGAAGTTAATGATTGATTTTAATGAGAAAATTATTTATCATGAATGGATGTTTCCCGCTATATTTGAATTACGGTTTGCTTAGTGTCACAACAATTGGAATGCTGACTATTCAATATATATATATATATATATATATATATAGAACAGTTAAGAAAGGGTAGCGTGACTGGATGATACTCAATGCATGGTGTACTCTATATATAGAACAGCTATGAAAGGACAGCGTGACTGGATGATTCTCAGTGGTAAATGTTGAAAGTGGATGCATAGGCGGTGTCTAGGTGGTGTTGGCGTGTTAATTGATGACTGACAAAACTTGACTAACTTCGTCTTCATCTGAATAATTATCCGAGTTCAATCCTCTTACCAAGATCAACAAATCATACAATGAGAGGACTGACACACAGAATTATCTCGTTATATATCTAAAACCCAAGGTTAACCTTTGTCATTGTTAGACTTCTATCAGGCACCCATAGCCGTTATTGTCCTATCACTCGCGGGCGGATAACATCTACACTGGTGGTGGTGAATTGAAATGAGAGACTAATTGAAACCCGCGAGGTGTTAAAGTTTCTCGGTTTGTTCTTGGCTGGGGCGAGTTTCCAGAATAGACTCAAACATCTAGCGATTTTGTTTCAAGACACATGCACGCTCTAGTCCATCACGACTCCATCTCGTGGTAGTAATTTCGTGCACTGAAATTCGCCTTGTGTCATCAGCAAGAGAAACGCTGTATCACGTTCATGCACCGGTTTTCTCATTATCCTATTGTGTCAAAGTGCTGACAAGTAGCTTGATCTGTAGGTCAAGATGGTTCGCTTTGTATTACTGTCTATAGAACTGAGATGCACAAGACCCCTCCCTGTTACGTTTCAGTAGAATTGGTGATGAAAAGAAATTGTTAGTACCGCGACAGTTCGTTTAAGTATGCATACGTGCCACATCATCAATAGCTTTTAACATATTTAAGGGTTTGCAAAATTCGTTTACATCTTAAAGCGCACCACTGTACGCAACGGATTTAGTTGGAATATTTCATGTAATGGGTGTTCGCGTTACATTTAATGCTACAAAAACAGAGTACGAACTTAAAATTGGAAATAATAATAACGCTTCGGATTTTATTTTAGATTTTGAAACAGTTTCCAAATTAAAAGCGTTATTTATCGACTTTTTCCAAGAAGCTAGAAATTTTAAATCTAAGACATACAACGTAACCACGTGTTGTTTGTTGAGTCATATTATAAAAAACTTTCATTTCACTTTCGATCGACTGTTTGAATCACTTTCCATTCAAAAGACAGACACTAGCTCTGTTGTCATATTGGATATCGATGACATGAAAACTATTGTTGAATATCTGATTAAAGCCGATGCTATTGTGGAGTTTCACCGATTCAAAGAAGAATTTAAAGATAACTTATAGAAGGTAAGTATATTCATTATTTATATAGAGTAGATGTTTCAGTACTCTATCTCTTTTTTGTTTAATCATTTTGTGCACTTTACCTCATCAAAAGGACTATCATGTACAGGTATCCTCAATGTTTCCACTCTTATTGAAATTTGTTATTATGATGAGTGCTGTATCAAGTGATAGGTCGTTAGATAGAATTATAGCAGTTAGGCTAAAACGAGAATTGTATTCGTTTGGAACGTACATTGTCTTTATACATATGCGATAGTGAGTTCACTAGCAAACTGAGGGAGATTTTGTTGCTAACAATAAATTTTAAGCCGCGTGATTAGTGATCTGTTGAAAAGCTGCAGAACCTAACACGCAAGTACTTTGCATCAACTTCGATCATCACATATGTTATCACAATCACGTATTATCTATCATGTGATACAGATTACTTTATCTGTCTGATAAGTGGTTTATAATTATGTTCATGCGATTGTCTTGAACAAAGGTGATATTCACAAATTTATACATCTTGATAGGTGTAATAAACCGCTCAGATAATGATCTTGTGTACCGTATACTAGGCGAGTATGAACAACTATTAAGAATTTCTACTGAGAACGAGAAAATTCACAAAAGTGTTCTTGCTCTCACACTTTTTATATCACCCACATCGCGATAGTGTAGGATAAATTTCATATTTATTGCTATATACTATTATTGCTAAGATGCGGGAAAATACCGCTGTGAACTTAGGGTTAATATATTGTAACAGGTTACCGTCCACATTTAAATAAAATCATGCGTATTACTTTAAGGTGTTAAGATTTAAAGTTCCTTTGACAATATCTCATCCATATCGTACATAAACACATTGTTTAACTAATGTAACTTAAAACTTATTCTGCACAAGTTTTAAAATATATGTACGTTTAAAATGAGTACTACTAGCATCATAATGTCTTATTAAGATGGACGGCATCTCTGTAGTTATTCTGTGAAGTAATCTAAAACGATATATGAATGGTGCTTGCGAGACGTTTCTCCGAGGAAACACGTGATCACGTGATCACGTGTGCACACAACTCACACAGCCATTGTTCGCGACTTGTATATATACACACACACACACACACACACACACACACACACACACACACACACACACACACACACACACACATGCCCCTCATCAGACTTACCCACTCACGACAGGGTACACACCAGCAATGAATAGTATTGATATAATTTATCATTCGGATGGTGAGTGGAGTTTGAAAATTTCGGAAAAAACATCACCATTTGAAACTATTATCTTAAATAAATTTTCTGCCGAAATCGTTTATAATTATTTAGGAAAATATTTGAAACGGGCAAGAGTAAGTGAGGTTGTCACTATTGGTATAAATTTTAAAAATTTTTTTTCAAAATTTTCCCAAAAACATTTTTCTGGTGTTGTCCTATTGTGCCACGGAGGTTTAACATTTATCTTGACGAAGTCGGAGATTGACGTACTTTTAATGAAAGTTTCCTCCTGTTTGTAAGGTATGAAAATCGTTTTGTGTTTAACCAGAATGTGTACGTGCAATATCCCTCACCACATTCCTTTCTTGTCACCGACATGAGACTGTGTGTCGCCACTGTCTTTGATCTTTGAACATCATGTGTTACATTGTTGCTGTTTTCACGTGCATTATTCTCGCGCGTGTACGTGGGTCGTATTTCATTGGTTGATTGAAAACAGTCAATCAAAATGTTTATGGTATAATAGGAAATAACTCGAATTAACCTTTCATTCAAGCAAAAAATGATTTGTTTGATGCTGTTTGCGTTGAGCGGAATGGTATCCCCAAACCGTGTAAGTCATGCGTTTCGGTCTCCTGGTTTGATCACGTTGTCTATGTGATGGTATGTTCAAGTCTAACTGACTGATATATTTTGCAAGCATACTCTTGAAGTAATACATTAACATTAATTGTATAACCTAGTTTTTACCCCCAACCAGCGTCACTGTGATGTTATACAGCTAAACATAGAACTAGGTCACTGTCGCCAGCAAGCCTATGTGTTCACTGTACTATTTACGGTCTTACCGTCGTGAAAGATCGTGTGTTTGTAGGCTGCAGTGGGTCATCCTGAGTGGGTTGAATAATCCTGTGACTACCACACTGTTGCTCTCAGCCAAGGAACACGACATTTACGCATATACTCCGTGTACAGAATACTTCATAATATTCTTAAGGCTGAAAACGTAGAAAACACTACCGGTCACCTCTTAATGTTTCCAAACGACTACATTTCTCAACAAACCTAGCTGTTCACACTGCTACGCGACTCGTCCGCCAGCTCTTTACACGAGCCTCTCATCCGCAGGGGAAAGTGTCACGTGACACCACCCTGAATTCTCACTATGTGACACTATTTAACACTCGTGTGGATAGCCAATGCAGGGCGACATGACTACCTCGCTCTTGCACGTGTCCTTCCCTGAACCTCCCCTCCGGTTGTGCAGAACTTAGTCAAAGAGTCTTATAATCTAAATGGGGATATCTTCTTAACGGGTTCCGATCGGATTCGAACTCTCACTACGACACACTTACAAGACACGTTAACTACCACACCGTAAAATACACAAACACTGCGACTCCGTCTAAGCAAACCGTAATTCTAGTGTTCTTGAAGCATGGTGAAAGGATAACAACAACAATACGGATGTTATTTGTATTTATTCATTCGGTGTGACTGTATTATCTTTAGAAATCTCCACAAGTTGGGTCTGTCACTTCTGATTTACTTTTGTGCGCTGTTGTTACCTGTAAACAAAATAAATAAATGAACATTAGATCACTTAATGGAAAGTGAGGGATAACGTCTCTACAGCAATAAGTAGTTTATTTTTCCTCCAATGAGAGTAAACACGTAGAAACTAGATGGAAAACGATGATATCAAGATAAATCAAGGAGACAGAATTGGACACTTAAATAGCACCTTAAAGTTAACAGTGATTTTTTACAACATCAATGAAAATTGCGTTAACAGACTGTAAGAACCTTCCAAGCACAGAATAGTTTGAGGTACAGTTACAACACGTCATTGAGTTGATAGCGTACGATACAAATAATTTACGACACTTCACTCAGTTGTTAGCTTACGATATAAAATATTTTAGGACACTTCACTCTGTTGGTAGCTTGCGGTACAGTTATGTATCACTTCATTGATTTGATGGCTTACGCATACAATATTTTACCTCACTTCCTTGACAGCTTGCCGGTAAAGAATAATTTTCAGCATTTTAGTATTTGTACATTATCAAACTGATGCATCACTTACCACGAACATATGGCATGCTTCTGATGGTGGTTGCTTTCCCAAACATTGGAGTAACTCTCCCAGTTTGTTTCATTGGTGTAGTGGGGATGCTGGTCATTCCTATATCCGGTGTTGTTGTCGGTGTGGGAGGAGGTGGCATCAGTAGCGGTGTTGATGCATGTTGAATCTCGTCAGGTGTATCAATTTCCGGGATGGGAGGGATGTCTGGTAGTTCATCCATCGTTAGCGCAATATTTTCAGCCTGTTGCACGTACTGAGGTGCATCAGTCAAAAGTTGATTGAAGACATCTAATGTCATAGATATGCTCTTTCTCTGGTGTCTAGCATTCCAGTTCGTAAGGTGAATGTACACAGTTCCATTAAACAAATTGATAGACAAAAAATGTTTGTCTGCAAACTGAACATTAACTGAATCAGACATGATTTCAGCTTGGTAAGTCGAATGAACTGCAATGACAGAAGTGAGCAGACTTCGTAACTGTTCTCTGGTGAAAGCTGTATTTATAACACATCATGATTTAGCACAAAATGTGCAGTACCTGGTCATGTCCAACCACAGTTAGCCACTATTACCAACCTACCTCACTGACTTGCAGAAAAAGAAGTAGTGACTAAGGTTGACACGTCACTTTTCAAACGTGAACCTAGACACACCCTCTTTCATTCCAAAACACGTTTTATCAATACGCCTACATGTACCGAGCTACCCACACCGACTTACAGAAAAGAAGCGAGTAACCGTGATGCAGCACTCTTTTTTGAGGAATAAAATGATAGGGTTATGTACAACTGGAAACACACTTCAACAGACCATCAGAAGAGTTGAGTCAGTCTCGGAAAGCATTCTTGTCTTAAGAGTGTTAGGACGTTTTGTTTTTTCTAACAGCGGACGTGCAAGCAACAGACAAGTAAGTAACAATCAGAATATTTTATCATTGGTTTTTTCTTTTATCATTTTAAACCATATCATTGTTAGAAACGTTCTATCATAACTTTTATTATTTCAGATAAACAAAGTAGAAGTTTTCAAGAAAAAACATGCAATAGTGGATCGTATTCAAATTTTTAGTAGGTGAATAACTACGGGTAACAAAATGTCTGAGCAAACTACATGCCCTGTCTTCCAATGTGAAATTTCTCTCTCTCTCTCTCTCTCTCTCTGGCAGAGAATATTGATATATCACACAACTATGTGACGTTATGACGTGTTTATTAGTTGACAAAGCTTCACATGTAGTATGTCAATTGAACAGATGCAACAACACGCTGATAGGAACTAGGGATTAATAAGGTGAACACGCTGATTGGAAATACGGTTTAAAAGGTTGAACACGCTTATTTGAAATACTTATTAAAAAGATGAACGCGCTGATTGGAAATACTCATTAAAAAGGTGAACAATCTGATTGGAAATACTTATTAATGTAGGTGAACAAGCTGATTGGAAATATCTATTTAAAAAGATGAACAAGCTGATTGGAAATACCTATTAAAATAGGCGAACACGTTAATTGGAAATGCCTATTTGATTAGGTGAACAAGCTGATTGGAAATACTTATGAAAAATAGGTGAACACGCAGATTGGAAATGCCTATTTGATTAGGTGAACAAGCTGATTGGAAATACTTATAAAAAAGATAAACGTGCTGATTGGAAATACGTATTAAAATAGGTGAACAAGCTGACTGGAAATACTTACTAAAAAGGTGAAATCGCTGACTGGAAATACTTATTAAAAAGGTGAACACGCTGATTGGGAATGCTTATTATAAAAGGTGAACACGCTGATTGGAAATACTTACTAAAAAGGCGAACACGCTGATTGGGAATGCTTATTATAATAGGTGAACACGCTGATTGGAAATACGTATTAAAAGTTGAACACGGTGATTATATTGGACAACGAAAAACATTTCACAGTCTATGTATCAGGCGAGTGTTTAATGTATGTACATAACTTGACATGCACACAAATCATTAGCGAATCAACGGAGAGTGGCATCAAAACATGGTTCACAAGACCTGTCAATCACGATAAGAGGCGGGAGTTTTAACGGTCAGGCTGTCAGCAAACGAGCCTGAAGGCCTTGCAGGTATCTTGTTTCATTCCTTTCCGTGGTTTGAACGATCCGACAATCCATAGTGGTGAAAGAGGTCCGCTTTATCCATCGCTGTGACACCTTTTTATTCTATATCCCCTAGTTTATAGTATTTCACTCCTTCTTTGCAAAAAGGTATTCATGATTTTGGTCTTCCGCATATATTTGTTTCAACCATTTGATGCAAAGATATCAACAATGATACCTTGGTACGTATTACAACACTAGAGGTAGAGACATACCAAATCAGTAGAAAATGGGCACCCGGTGAAATAAGTCATGAGACTATTAGCCTTCTAGCGCCTCACAGGCAGCTTAGGTTATCCGGGGTAATAATAATAGCACTTTCAGCAAGTTATCCATCCTGGAAAGTGGACTACTATTATTATTATTATTATCATTATATTAGAAAGCGTTTTTCATTCACTCTTCAGATCTATGGAATGTTAATTCATTGAAGACTTAACACCATACGTGTAGGGGCCCAATTGCCTGGGACGGGAACAGACATGTAGATCGGATCTGAGTCCTGGTAAATATCAGACCTGTTCTGTAGTTTCCCTGTCGGGTTACAACCGCCGCATTCGTTGTACCACCATCCAGACAGACGTATTTGCGCGCAGTTCTCGCCATCTTTGAGGTCGTTGTCGCGGTCGATAGAGGTGAATAGCATCTCATTCTGATCTTTCATGCAGTTGTCGAGATAACGGGTGAAATTGTGGTTCTCATTACCGAAATGGCTCATGTACGACGCCTTATAACCGCTTGACTCATTTAACACCTGAAACAAAGTAACAGTTTAGGAATATACTCATAAACATTATGTCATCAAAGATCATCCAGCTTCGTAACACCTGGACCAATGACCTTTCAAACAATCTGCTTTAGAATACGCTAGAGTATTGCTTGTCATTCACATTGTACACTATCGGGCACTTCAAAAATGGATTTTTCTAAATATATTGACCGCCCCAAAGGCTCAATGCCGCAAGAATGTATATTTTCTTTTGTCCGTATATCGAGACCGGTACTAATTTTGAAAAACTTCAAATAAGAGCGCGAGAGTACGCTACCCGTTTAAGTGTCTATAGTACGTAAGCTATTCCTGCAATTCCACTCCTGAATAACCCTTAATAGAATAGGTCCCCAGTAAAACTCAAGGGCCAACTAATGAGGATGAGAGGTTTCCAGTGTACGATCTTGTGGAAACATGGGACAACGGCAGTACATCGATGGTACTCCGGGACACTTGACTCTTATTTACTTGGCCGAAGCATATTACAGGACGCCGTTTGCATGGCTTAAATATCATCTTCGGCGCAAAAACAAAACAGTTTCATTCATCAATCCACCCAAACATACACAGATACCTTAAATTTTTTATAAAAGTGTTGATAGAAGTCAATGTTATGGTACATCTGGATGTTCAGCATCATGTCCCGGTAATTCGAGATGAGGAAGATCTTCTCGTTTCCAAGCCAAAAGTTCCCATCGAGTGTAAGATCTCCGAATCCGTCTCTGTATTCCCCAAGTCCGGTTGAAATCCACATAAGGGTACGTTGTGTCTTTCCTCATCAGGTACACCTTACCGCCATATTTCATGTTACACATGACCTTGAATGGCGAGGAGGCGGTTGGGGAAGGATGTAGAAAAGGCCTTTCTGGTCAGTGTAATGAGGAGATTGAGAGCCCTCTGCACAGTCTGAAACACCAATGTGTATACAGTGGAGTTTCTCAAATCCGGGCTCTGTGTGATCCGGTTTCTCCATAACCCGGACTTCTCTCTGATTCCCGGCAAATTTGTTCTTAATTTATCATTTAAGCTTGCTTTATAATCCGGACTCTCTCAATTACGGATTACGGACTAAGATAACAGTCCCAACAATCAACTTGCTATGAGGACAATGCCCTGTAATCCGGACTTAGCTGACTAAAATAACAGTCCGTTGAATACACAGCTCCGTTATATGGAAGTAGCGTTCTGTGCATAACCTGCAATATGTATTAGAGAAAGCACTCCTACTAGAGATTAGTGAACCCTGAGGTAGGGGAACATCCCGACTCTCAGGGTTCACAATCTCTAGTAAACCCGAGTAGGAGTGCTTTCTCCGACTTATCAACCGTTTTTGCGTAAAATATCTTTTAAAATAATATATACGATCGACATCAATACGCCCCGAGCAGAACAACATTGATGGGACAGCCCGCAAATGATGGAACAGCCGGTGTCAACTGGGATGCGACTGGCCGCCAACACCTTGCCTTGCACGCGCAATGCACGTGCTACCCGTGTCCTGCACGTGCGCTGCCCGCAGTACCCGTCTTGTGAGGAACACACGTTTCATACTGACAAACAATCTGTTTTTTGACAGCCATCCTTCATAGCCTAGTGGATAAAACCGCCAAGTTAGAGAGCGAAGGGTTGCAGGTTCGAAACCAGTTATCGCCACTATATATTAGAAGTTTTCAATAATGTGATATTTTACGATCAGTGATAGCAAGACAAAGTTGTATCAATCATGAATAATATCCTAGGTTTAGAAATGATCAGTGCAGAGGTCTGGGAACTCACTTTACAATTCACATCCTGGGGATTTATAATTCACATACTATGTATTTACAATACGCATCCCGGGGATTTACAATACACATCTCTGATTATATAGTCTACAAAAAAACATATGTTTCGATTTCAAAGAGACTGTCTGAGACGACCCGTTATACGTGAGGTAGGTTGATAAGGCACGTTATACGTGAGGTAGGTTGATAAAGCGTTATATTTTGGTCGCGGTACAAGGAACAGACCAGTTGATGCCCTTTCAGGTCACCGGAGACGTTATCGTAAATATCAAATTATGCTTCTAATGGTAGGTCTATTGTCCATACAAGATAACATGTCCATACATGGTTAAGAACCAATGATAGTACCAGCAAACTACAAGCCGGTGCAAAAAGTATTCGGACATATGACGTAGATCTGATTTCCATAGACCTACATGTTACTAGTATTTCAGTGTAGCATAAATAATTTTCATGAAGTGAGTTTAAGACAGATCTTTGTAAAGTTTGACAGGCAACTTTGAAATCGATTTTCCGCCCATTATATTCAACTAATGACATCACATGTTGAAGGCGTTCACGGCGTTGTACACATGTTGATTAAATTGTTGCCATTCGATAAATAAGCAACGGAAAATTAAACAGAAATTATGCAATTGTAGGTAAGATGTTTCCTCACAAATGTGCAAAATTTGACTTGGATCTTACGAAATTAAATTCATGAAAAGTATTTATGCTACACTAAATTAACATGTAAGTCTATGGAATGAATACGTGACGTCAAGTGTTCGAATACTTTTGACAATACTCTGTATCTTTTTCAGATCGGAACAAAAGTTCTGTATGTGAAACGTCCTATTTGAAATTTTGTTAACGTTTTATTTAAAATACAAATTCTTTGAACGTTAGATCCTGATATTTTTTGCCTGAGAATACAATCTGGTGGAAAGAAAGCATACTTACACTTACAAATACTGTATATGCAAGACCC